TAGCCATCGCTCGAGTGAAACCCGAAAGGGAAGCAGAGAGTTGGTCATCAGTGTGAGGGTGACAACTTGGAGGAGGTCATGTGAATAGGAGATGAAAGCATCTGGGCAGACTTGGAGCGGGGTGAGGCAGTTGGCAGAAAACTGAAGGCAGTGGAGACGCGCAGCTGAAGCCCTATGTTCCTCTAGGAACTAAAGGAAATAATCATAATAATAACCAGTAACGTTTAGTTTGTTGGTCTCATGTTTTCACAATGAAGCTGAGAGGAAAAGTTTCAGGGTTTTGACTTACTGATTCCAAGAACAACTATTTCACGTCAACTGGAAATCCGTCAGACATGCGGACCGTACAAGAGACTCATTCATAAGTTGCATGTACCTCAAGAGTTTGGATAGTGTTCAGTCTTCCAGCTGCATCTATCAGACTGTCGTATTTGACAACGGATGTCTGCATTCTAAACCTTATGTTACCAAATGATACCAAATGAAGCGTAATAATAACGTTAAATGTCTAGTGGTAAGCAACAAGGGAAAACCAAATGATGACATTATGAGGTCATATCGATTAGGATGTCTGGGACAAATGTTACACATGCCGAACCGGGAAAAGTTTGGCTAATATACAATTAGATTAGGGTGGTCAGATGACATGAAGTCTTTGAACAACATGGCTAGATATAAACTGTTTAGATAAGGTCATCAAGACAATATGCACCAATGGTTGAAGACTGCTGATGACATAGCTCAAAATTATTGTCAGTCAATGGAGCAGATGTATTCACTCATCGTGGTCTTCTAAAGTCGTTAATTCTTCGCTGTTCTCAATGGAATTATTCTTTCGCCCATGGACCTTTAAGTGTGCTATTACGAAGTGTGACAAACTTCTAAGTTGAAGAAGTAATTCAGTTGAAAGTTACTCATGTCAATCAATAATGCTTTATTGTTTAACCACTTACGCACATATTTAATAAATCAGGAATATTTCTTTTTTATTAAGGCATTTCGGTTAAGTTGTACTCTGTGTACACCCTAAATTAAATCATTCAATATATATATATATATAGCGGTGAACTTTTGGTAGGTCACTTTTGACAACAGACGACAAGTCACTGAGATTTAAGTGCATTCAAACAAAGATTTACCTAAAGGTGTTCATTGACCACCCAATAGTCTATTGTGATAAAAAACCTTTAGAAATATGAATAGAATAGCACAGGTAACTGTGCATAATTAGAATTAGACCTTCTCTCCGATCAGAAAAAGCTGGATTCAGGAAAGGTAAATCATGTTCTGACCAAATCGCAACTCTATGCACCATCATCACAGAACAAAGCATGGAATGGCAATCAAACCTCTCCCTACTTCGACTTTTGTAGACTTTGAGAAGGCCTTCAACAGACAGCGTTGACCGCAAAGTAATTTGGAAACTACTCAAGTACTACGCCGTACCTTAAATATTCACCAACCTTATTCAACAGCTGTACGACAACGGCACATGTCAAGTCATCCACAACGGAAAACTCAGCGAGACGTTTGGAGTAAACACAGGAGTCAGACAAGGGTGCTTATTATCACCAATGGTATTCCTGATTGTGGTTGACTGACTGCATTATGCGTCAGATAGTGGGAAACGAGAAGACAGGGATATCCTGGACTGACCGACGTGAAGAACCTAGAAGACCTGGATTTCAGGCGTGGGTGATTTTTGTGTGATGTCACTGTCACAAAATTGAAGATTTACAAGCGAAAACGACAAACTGGTCGAAGAAGCACCAGGTGAAGACAAGACTCCAGGTGAACATAGACAAGACGGATGTTATGAAAATAACCAGCCAACAACACCAACAACAGCAACATCCAGCGCCAACCACCATCAACAGGAGGGATTTGAAAGAGGTTACTTCATTCACTCAATTATCCAGGGAGGGAGCATTGTCTCAACTACAGGAACGTAGGAACAAACGAGGATGTCAAATCGAGCGAGAATCGGGTGGTAGGCGAGAAACACATTCATCAACCTGAAACAACCAATCTGGAAATCTACATCACTCATCATCAACAACGAAATTCGGTCGGATTTTCAATACAAACAACGTCAAGTCAGTCAGTTCTTCTATACGGATTACAAACTTGGCGGGCGGGTCACAAAGAATATTTCCAACAGCCTGTTGCAGACCTTTATCAACCAAAACTGTTTTCGCTGGCTCTATGCTGAAGATCAGATGGCCGAGCCGGAAAGAATCACCACTAACAAGAAACTATGGGAAGAAACAAAACAAGAACCAGTCGATCGCCCAAAAATATGCAGGAGAAAGTGGAGATGGATTGGACACTCGCTGAGGAGACCGCTGGGTGACATCGCGCGCGCAATGCAGGCCATTACTCGAGTCGAATCAGGTTGAACTGGAAGCGGCGAGTGGGTCGTCAGTGCAAGGGTGACATGGATTAGATCGTGTGAAGAGGAGTTGAAACAGTATGGACTAACTAACATGGATGCAGGTGGAAAATACAGCAGAAGATAGAAGCAAGTGGAGACGTGCAGTTGAAACCCTATGTTGCACTAGGAACCCAAGGGAACAATAATAGTAATAAACCTTCTCTGACTGTTTGCTAAGACATGCCAGTAATTATACCGTCCACATTTGAGGAATATATGACTTGAAACGTTTGTTCAATGACTCCTTAGGCTATATTTCTCCACAGACAGGGAACATGTATGGAACCACTTGTAACCAGACAGTAGTCAATAGGTGTTTTATCCTTGTTTGAAATTCTACCCCCTCCCTCAACACCATCCCGAACTGAAGACAGAACCCATGACATTAGAGTTATAAAACAATCAGGTTATCTGTGAACCAGTAAGGCAGAATTAAATCGCCCATGAATTCTTACTTTCTTCAGCCTTCTAACATCGAATCTGGCTACTTCTATGTAGATCTGTAAATTCAACTGCTTTTATGTAACAGTTACATAATAAAAGTATGTCAAAGAACCCGCCATCATCACCTTAGGTCGTGTCCATAAGCGGCGAACAACAAGTAGTACAGGCTTGGTTAATCCCCCCCCCCAAACCTTTAAAATATTTAATTTGATGAATAAGGAGCATAAAGTTGAGGTTTTGCGACTGTTCCTTAGATTTTTACACCTTCAGTTACCATGCATACCTCACAGTGTAGTCATTAACGTTCTCACCTGCATTTACTCTCATCTCCTCCTCACCACACGACCTTATCCATGTCACTCTCTCACTGACAACCAATTCGCCGCTTCCCATTCGGTCGGGTTCCACTCAAGCGATGGCTTAGCGTGTGATGTCACTCACTCGATGGTTTGTTTTTTCAGAGTATGGCGGCCAATCCACCTCCATTTCTTCCTGCACATATTTTGCACAATTGATTCCTGCTGTGCTGGTACACTCACTGCCAAAGATTCCTGTTGCCGGTCTTTTCTGGCCAGCCATCTGATCTTAAGTATTCAGCGAAGACAGCTAACTGTTGATAAAGGTTTGTAGTTTGTTCGAAGTGCCTTTTGTGACGTGGTGCCAAGTCTCCAATCCGTACAGTAGCAGCGCCTTCACAATACAGTTGAAAACCCGGATCTTATTTTTTATTCTCAGTGCTGAGTGTTGATGTCCACACAGACTTGAGAGTAATGAAAGCTTGTCTTGCTTTTCCGATTCTCGCCTTGATATCCTCATCAGTTTCGTCCGCCTTTAGTTGAAACGATGCTTCCCAGGTGGGGTAGGTAGGTAAAGGAGGTTGCTTATTTCAGATCACTCCCATTTATGCTGACTCACTGTTGTCTGTTGTTGTTGCTGTTGCTGTTGGCCAGGAATCTTCATCACCTACCTCTGTTTTCTCTATCTTCACCTGAAGGAAGTCCTATCTTTGGTGCCTCTTCTGCCAACTTGTTGCTTTTCATCACTTGCATATCTTCCAGATTGTAGGAAATCAGACAAATACATCATCGGCGAAGTCCAGATCCTCTAATTTTTCTGTGTGGGTCCATTTAATGCTTGTCTTCTCGTGTTACCCGCTGTCTGTCTCATTATCGAGTCTACCGCCTACAATCAGGAAAATATTTGGAGATAGTTGACAGCCGTCACTTCAAAGGATTCCGTGAGTTTCCCCTTTATGGATTACTTGGCCTGAAGCATTCTCGTAAAACTGTTGGATGAGATTCATAATTGTTGGTAGCACCCCATAGTAGCGAAGTAGTTGCCAAATCACCTCTCGATCGATGCTTTCGAAGGCCTTGACAAATCCAATGCACAAAATATATTATCGAAGGAAATGCCGACGGACCATTGACTTACATCAACCGTCTACTTCCATTACGAAGCTTGAGGAATAACAATAACAGTAATAGTAATTTGTGTGTCCTGCTTCTTTTGCCTTCATATAATGCCTTTATTTCTACATTAATCCACAACTTTTTTTATTTTCACACGACATACTACTTAGAAATTCTTGTCAGTAGCACACTACACCTTACTTATAAAGCGAATCATGACAGTAGTACAACAGAATGTTATTCGTCACATTTTAAGGAGGCGGCTAGTGAAATCACCTTACAATATCCCTTATAAGGTAACAAAAAATAAAAAAGATACGTGTAGATTATATGAAGAGAGGAGTGCTTAGTTTCTTCTATTTTTTAAACTTGGTACACATATTTACATATTTAGTAAAACAAATTCAATTTTCAATGTTCAACGTTAAATGTTCAATTGATTCAAATGATATTATTTATGTGTATAGAATCTAATTTAATGGTCAAACATATATATATATATAAACCACACATGAGAGGATAGTTTAAATATATATCTCACATTGAAAATTGAATATTACGACTTATATACATATTTGAAATATATATATTTAACTAATGCCTTTTGATATAAGTGAGTGAATAAGTGAACTTTCCATTTTGGTCTTTTGTCTTACAATTTTAAAAAAGAGAAAAGATTTTGCTGGATAATTAATTGTTTTTTTTAAAAATTATTTTCTTGGAGCTGAAATCCCACTAGTTGTAAAACATGGTTCTGGGTCGGCACGACCAGCTTTACCCAAACCTTTACCAGTTTCAGCATTGAAACGTTCTTTATGCGAACCAGTAAATGATTTCACGTCTGTCAGCCTTGAGATGGTGGGATCAGAACTGATTTTCTATAAGAAAAATAAAAAAGAGAAGAGGAAAACATAAAATTGGAGGTGATGGCAAGAAGTTTTGGGAAGATTTGATCTTTGTGTTTGTTGGCAGTCACTAGTTAGTAAGGCGTTTGTACCGTAGTGAAGAAACGTATTTCCTCACTCTGAGATTTGAACCTGCATCATCGACCGCTTCAGTCAGAGATGTTCTCACTGAACTATCCAGACTCACAAGTGACCTAGTCTAGGGGTGTAATGAAATCTGTGACTGGTTACTTGGGAGTCGCAAATATCATACTTCCCTTCCTTAGTACTAGCTCAGACTGAATTCCGTTGATCAAGTTTAAGTGTTTTAGAGTTAGTCTGTTAAGTTTCCCTTATTTACAACACAGTCTGTTCCAATTATTATAAAGGTGTTTTCGTATTTCCCAATGAATGAAAAACAAAACAATATTCATGTGTTAGTTTGTAGGGATTTGATTGGTTACAAGATTTTCATCATGAGCTGACATTAGTTAGAGAACCATTGTAAAACCAGCTGGGAGTACTGGAAAGCTGTTTCGTCAGCCTAGTTTGGGACTCTTCAGCAGTACTCACCCACATTGAGGGGTTCTAACCCGGGACCTTCTGGTTACAAGGCGAGGTCGTATACCATTAAGCTACTGAGACCCGATCCAATGGCTCACGAATTCAAACTTCTGACAATTCACAACATAGCGCGACCCCTAGCCAATGTCTTCGGCGAGTATTTGTCCTCACACCCGACGTGCTGCACCCTACTGGCTACGACTTCCCACCAGAACCCCAGGTAACTACCTACCTGAATAGGGTCAGTTGCTAGTGAGCATCTCATTGATATTCAAGTGTTGGTTGGGTGCAGCAGGTGGTCGGGTGTGAGGACAATTACTTGCCGAAGACATTGGCTGGGGTCACGCTATGTCGTGAATTGGCAGAAGTTTGAATTCGTGGGCCATTGGATCGGGTCCCAGTAGCTTAATGGTATACGAGCTCGCCTTGTAACCAGAAGGTCCTGGGCTCTAATCCCTGTGGCGGATGCGTACTTCTGAAGAGTCTCAAACTAGGTCGAAACTGCTTTCCAGTACTCCCAGCCGGTTTTCCAATGGTTCTCAAACTAATGTCAGCTCATGATGAAAATCCTGTAACAAAACAGTATTGCTGGTTTCACTGACGTTTTGCCGTTTAGCGCTGCTACTAATGGCTTTATCAAAGTATTATTAAACCAGAATTTACAAAATTTACTCAGCTTGAACATAAAAACTTAATCATCATTCATCAGCATGGGGTCATTTTGCGTTGTCAAGTTGGCCGATTGATGAAGATAACAAAACCAGGTAGGTGTAGATTGTTGGATTTGATCAGTGTGTAAAATTGTAAAACCAGTGTGTGTGTGTTTATAGAGTGAACTTGATTATCACATTCGTGTTGTTTTTGTCACTTCATGGGGAGGGGGAGGAGGTGTTGTAACCATGTCAGATTCTGTTTTAGTCCATCATTCCTAATCACTTCAGACAATTTGGGTTCCATTCGATGATATGAAGTGCTTCTGATGATATTAGGCGTTCCTTGCGATTTCTGAAATGCTTTTTCTGGATGATGATTTCAATATTGTCAAAATCACTTTTGTGACCTGATTCTCTAGCGTGATGATTTTTCAAGTTTTTCTAGTTCAACCGGATTTCTCAGTGGTGGAACAGATGCCCTGCAGTGTTCATTTTTTTCTGATTTTGATTTCTCTCCGACGATGTTTATCCGATGTATATCGCATCACATTCCAAGCATTTACTTTAATAGACACAATCAGATGGATAATCTTTAGGGATTCGGTCTTTTATATGGACAAGGTTACTTTGTAGTGTGTGTGTGTGTCTGATGTTTTGAAGAAAACTCTAATGTCGAGCTGATTGAGTACTCTTCTGATATCGTCTGACGTCTCTGCTGTATATGGAATGACAACTCTTGAACTCCATGTTTTCAGAATACAAACTGTTCCAAGTTCATTTTCGAGACTTCAGTGGCGCTGAAACTAATTTAGAATCAGTAGCAGTGTGTCATTCATTCTATTGGGTTTCAAATGATGGAACATACAGCGTTAGCGACACATTGCCATTTCCATCTGTTCTCACCTGGCATTCTAAGTTGACTCTTTCTCATACAATCCCCTCCAGGTCACCCTCAAATCCACACCCAACTCGTGGTTTCACATGCCGTCGTTACTCAGTGATCTGTTCACCGTGTACCCGATCTATCTCCATTTTCATCTACATATTTGTTGGACTGTTTCGCTTCCAGAATTCCTCGTTCCTAATTCTTCCAATCAGCCATCTGATCTTCTAGATCGAGCGAATACAGGTGGTGTGATTGAGGTTTATAGTAGTTTGTTTCAGAATGACTTTAACTGCACCATGTAAAATTACTGATTTGACATTAGTGCTGACAATTTAAAAAACTTGTTATCTACAGTGTCTGCCTTTGACGCTAAATTTATCACACCTCGGACAGTCTGAGGAAATTTAAGATAAGATAAGATAAGCTTTATTCCAAATCAGTACTTGTGATACAGAATGGAATTCTCAGCATTTTACTACAGTATTGCATCCAGTTAGTACATTAACAATAAATATAGTTCTACATAGATTAAGGTTATCTCAGTCAGTTTTGACAACAACATATTAGCATGTCGGTAGCAAAGCCAAAATTTAAACAGAGTGTTTGAAGGTGTTAGAAAAGTAGATACTACTGGCATATTTACTGGCGTAAGCAATAGCAAAATGGTCGAGATATACAGAGTGTGAAAGAACGAAGAAGAATGTTTTAAGTAGAGTTTGCAAGGATGAGAGAAACAAAACAGCACATAACAAAAAAAAGTAGAGAGAAAACGTTGTACCTGTAAATGATGTGACTTGGAAAGACGAGATCCATTTGTTCTACTGACTATTCAATAAGTTAAAGGTGTCACGCCTAATACTTCCTTTATCGCACAGAACACGAGCTAGGTAGGGTATGGATGAGTTTTTGTACTTGCTAGTGCGGGCATATAGTTTCCTATATAGGCTTCTGGTTCTGCCTGCCTGATGAGATACAAGGGGAGAGTTGTGAATGAAGAGGGTGGTGGTGTAAGTTGGATAAAATGGATTTAGCCCATTTTTCATATGAGTCCATGTGCCTGTCCACCAGAATATTAACGAGCTGGCTAAGTGGCAAACTGCTTAACCTGCTGACAACCTTTAACATCCTACGTAATAAGGTATAGTCTTTCTTCAATAGCCCAGGAAAAACTAAGGGGGAACAATAGAGAATAATAATAATAATAATAATAGCAGCTTTATTCCAAACAGTATTTGTGGTACAGGTATGGAATTTTCAGCGTGCATTACAGTATATTGCATCTAATTACCTCATAAATTATATAAGATTTTTAAAAATCAAAGATAAATAAATAAAAATAAATTAGTTATAAATAAATAAAAAATAAAAATAAAAAATAAATAAATACAAAAACCAATACTTGAAAATTCATCAGATGCTCACTAGTGACTGGCCTATTCAGGCAGTTAACCTGGGGTTCTAGTGGGAAGCCGTGACCAGTAGGGTACAGCAGGTCGAAGATGAGGCAGTAACTCATCGGAGAAGAAATTGCGAAGTGGTCGCGCTATATCGTGAACTGGCAGAAGTTAGAATTCAAGGACCATTGGATTGGGTCCCAGTGGCTCAATGGTCTACGAGCTCGCCTTGTAACCAGAAGGTCCTGGGTTCGAATCCCGGTGGGTGCGTACTGCTGAGGAGTCCCAAACTAGGACGAAACAGCTGTCCAGTACTCCCAGGTTTTCCAGTGGTTCTCTAACTGATGTCAGCTCATGATTAAATCCTCCATGCAATCAAACAAAATCCCTACAAAAACCAATACTTGAAAATTCATCAGATGCTTGCTCACTAGTGACTGGCCCTATTCAGGCAGTTAACCTGGGGTTCTAGTGGGAAGCCGTGACCAGTAGGGTACAGCAGGTCGAAGATGAGGCAGTAACTCATCGGAGAAGAAATTGCGAAGTGGTCGCGCTATATCGTGAACTGGCAGAAGTTAGAATTCAAGGACCATTGGATCGGGTCCCAGTGGCTCAATGGTCTACGAGCTCGCCTTGTAACCAGAAGGTCCTGGGTTCGAATCCCGGTGGGTGCGTACTGCTGAGGAGTCCCAAACTAGGACGAAACAGCTGTCCAGTACTCCCAGGTTTTCCAGTGGTTCTCTAACTGATGTCAGCTCATGATTAAATCCTCCATGAAATAAATAAATATTAAAAATTAGGAAAAAAGAAAAAAAACAACGTAGAGTATTTCATTTCAAACAATGCAACACAGGATTTGTAATATAAAGTTGATGTGTGGTAGTAGATGAGAACAACAGTGTAGTAGTAACGAGGAAATGAAAAGAAAACCTAATGAGACTATTTGTTAGAGTGCTGCAGTAAGTTTATCGTGTCATACCTAACGGATTTCTCATCACATAACAGCTGTGCCAGATATGGTATTGTGGAGTTTTTGTATTTGTTAGTCCTAGCATATAGCCTCCTGTAGCTGCTTCTAGTTCTTCCAGATGAAATGCAAGGAGATAGATGCGTATAGAGAGGATGCTTGGGGTCCGACAATATTGTATTCGCTAGTTTCTTACATGACATAATATGTCTATCTACAATAGTGTTCACCAGTTGGTTTAACGATATCCCACTTGCCCTACTAACAGCTTTTAGTGCCCTTCTCAGCGAAGCAAAGTCTTTCTTAAGTAGTCCAGGAAAGACTAATGGGGAGCAGTAAAGGAGGATGGGTAGAATACAAGAATTTACAAACTGAGAAAGTAAAGACTGGTTTATGCCAGACTGCCTAAAATTCCTAATAATAATAATAAAGACAGAAGACATGCTCATATGGCTTGAATTCCTTCAACTCTCTAGGCTAGGGATATGCTTAGCATTGAAGGAGGAAAATATGTGTCCTAAATTTAGATC